TACTTACTACATGAAAGGCACTTCTGAGAATGCTAGAGATTTCTACCTTTAAGAAGAGATCAAACACAAATAGCTGGTACATAAAGCAAAAGATAGTAAGTGGTAAAAGAGGCAAAAAGTATATAGGCTATAATGCTATTGCACTCTTACTGGCTTTCAAGGAAAAAATACATCTTCAACTGTTAAACATCATGAAAACCTCAACAGAGTCTGTTTTGGTTCTCTATTGCCTCATTAAAATTTAATGACTTAAAACAACCATTCCATTTTGCTCACGATTTTGTGCATCAGACATTTGGATGGCTGTCCCTGATCCATGCATTGTCAGCATGGGTGGCTGGCTGTGGGTCCACTTCCAAGTTGTCCCCATCACTTATGTGCCTGGCACACACATCTGTGCTTATTGGGGGGGTGGGGGGGTGCCTTCTCTAGCTCTGTCCATATGGCATCTCATTCCCCAGGACCTCTCAGCATGGTTTAGGCTTTTACTAATGTGGCAGCTTTAGGGTATTCAGAGATCTTTCATGGCAGCCAAAGACTCTGTAAGGCCAATGTAGAAGATATCAGTGCTCTTAAAGGCTAAGTCTATAATGAATAGCAACACTTCTGTCACACTCTTTTATCCAAAGACATCACAGTTCAGCCCAGATTCAAGAGGAGAATAAATAAACTCTGTGGTGGATTAAAGATGACTTCCCTTGATAGGAAGAGTGTCAAAGAATTTGCAGTCATCTTTAATCCACCACAGAGTTTATGAGATAATACAATGATATTCCATGAAATATAAAAACTTGTTTCTCTTTAGAACCTTCAATTAATCCAATTTTCTATCATAAACTCCAGGAGGAGGCATAATTAAGAAAATCATCTGTTTTGTATTCCTCATTTGGAAAAATATGAAAAATGTTCATGAAAGGAAATGATAGCCTTGGTCTAAATTGTTCCTAAAAGACTTTTAAAATCTTTTAATCTCATTTCTTGGATGGAGTCTTGAATTGTTAGAGACAAAACAGGGAGTTGGGTCTCAGCCTTTGCTCTTTCCATATTTGAGAAAAAAAAAAGAGGAAGCCAAATGCCAGATGAGATAAGACCTTGGTCACAGAAAACAGGGCAAATGTCACTAACAGAACTGGCTAGAAGAAGGATTACTGAAAGAGAGAAACCAGGCAGATCTCCTGTAGCAACGAAAAAAGTTGGCAATCTCTAAAACAATGTTAAGTATAAATGGAAAGAAGGCAGGGACAGCAGCAGAGAGCAAAGACTTCACAGAGACAGGGTTCCTGGGCCAGGCTCTTATCTCCAGGGACCCCAGATCTGAAGAATCATAATACAAGGGAGGGAGCTAGATAAAATGCCCTGGAACACCAGGACATTTACCCTTTGGTGACAGCAATGAGTGTTATGAGAAGTAATTTGATTCCAGATATATATGGTATATGAAATCAAAGAGGTTTTCTGAGAGTTTTGATATGGGGTATGAGAGAAAGAGAGGAGTCAAGGATGGCATAAAAGTTTTTACACGAACAACTAGAAAGGTGGAGCAGGTTTTCAGAAAAGATCAAGAAGGGCATTTTTATTATCCAAAGCCTGACCTGCCCATTAGACATATAAGTGGAGATTATAAGGAGGCAATTGAATATGAGTCTGGATTTCAAGAGAAAGAAGCAACCTAGAAATACAAATTTTAGAGCCATCAGCATATAAATGCTGTTTATGTCATAAGACTGGATAAGCTCACCTACAGAATAAGTGAAGATGGAGGAAAAAAAAAGTATGGGTGCTGAGTTCATGGGTGCTCAAGTTGGAGGTCAGGGAGGAACCAGCAAATAAGAAGGACCTTCCAATGAGTATTACTGGATACAAAGGTTACCAGGAAGGTATAAAATTTCTAAATTTGTATGAGCCTTAAAAAGTCATCAAAAATATATAAGGCAAAAATTGACAAAACTAGAAGTATACAAATCCAAAATCATAGTTGAAGATTTTAATACAATTTTCTCAGTAGTGACAGAACAAAGAAGCAAAACAAATCAGTAAGTATACGGGATATTTGATCTAACTGACAGCTAACAGAGGGGACTATGTTTAAAACACACACACACACACACACACACACACAGACACATACATATATATGTGTGTGTATATATATACACGTGTATATATCTATATACACGTGTATATACACACACAGACACACATACTCACATATATGTGTGTGTATATATATACATGTGTGTATATATACACGTGTATATATGTATCTATATACACATGTATACACACACACACACACACACACACACACACACACACATATATAATAAAGGTAACTTAGTCCTGAAAATGTAAGTCTACCTGAATAACAAACAGGGGATTAGCAGCCCAGAGAAATGGCAATGGTAACCACTTCTAACCCTAGGACTTGAAGAACAAATGAGGAAATCATCTTACTAATATCCAGGAACTGGGGCAACTGGTAGAAGCTAGATCCTCCGAGAATCTGTTCAGTGAGAGCTGGAGTTACAGAGAAGACTCAGTTGTTGCCTGAGTCAGAGGAGGGATGAGATATGCCCTTTTTTACCTACCCTCCAATCTCCCACCATTGCCATTTGCTAAATCCAAGTGAAAGCTGATTGATAGGGTGGTACCTGGGAAATGGAACTGCAGGGATTATCCCTCCTGCAACACAGAGCAGAGCGCACAGAAGGGCATGGCATGGATGTGAGAGAAATCAGGCAAATGACTGACACTCTCTCCAATGACTTGTCCTTCATCCTTAGAGCAATGAGGAGTCATTGAAGGGTTTTAAGCAGGAAGTCACAACCTGATAGGCACTTTTTACATCTGTGGTATAAAGATTGCAATCGATGGTCATCAGGACAGTTATGAGACCAATTCCGTTTGTCTAGGCAGAGATTATGGTGACTTAGACCAAAGTAGCAGTAGAGGAGGGAAGTCGACCAATTCAAAACACATTTAAAAGTTAGGCTTGAGAGAACAAGAGACATGTCCTATGAGGGAGTCAAGGATGGCACCCAGGTTTCCATTACAAACAACAGGGGAAATTGGAAGAGTCATTTGCTGAGATGGAAAAAAAGGAGGAAACATTTACAAGAAATATGGTAAGTTCAGTTTTAATGCCTCCAAGTCATCAAAATGGTGGGGTTCAAAGAACTGATTATATGGACTTGGAGTTCAGGAGCAGAATCTGAATGGAAATACACATTTTGGAAGCCATCAGCACATGCTTGGTGCCTGAAACTAAGGTAATGAGTGAGATCACCTGAAAAGGTTGGGTATAGTCAGAAGAGGTCTGGGTTTAGAGAAATACCAATATTTAAAGAACAGATAAAAGAGAAGTAAAACAAAACATATCAAAAAGAAGTAAAAGGAGATGTCAGAGGAAAATGTATCAAAGAGAATATGATGCCAATAAAGAGAGTATCTCAGAAAGGAGGAGGATTCTACCTGTGAAATGTAATTGCAAAATCAGGGAGATCAGAACTAAGACATGAACTTAGTGAATACTATTTCTTCAGAGGTTTGGGAGAAACTCACTTGGATTGTGAGATGAGGAAATAGTGACATCAAGTATGAACAAATAGTACAAGTTTGCTTGGGAAATGGAAGTGACAAATAGGGCAATAGTTAGGGAGGGGTTTCACTGGACAATAGGAAGCCATTATAAATTTTTGAGCAAGATAATTACACAATGAAAAGAAGGCTTTGAAAATGTAATTTTTACCAGATTGTGAGAGCATATGGGGTAGCAAATATATATATTCACACCCCCAAGACTCAGTACTCTGAGTGCCTACTGCTTTGATTTACAAGGAATGTCAACATTAAAAGATTCTTCTTCCTCAAGTATATCCGAGGGTCCCCAGGGGTGCTGAAATGAACTCATCCTGGTCATCGCTTGCCACCACCCCCATCAGAAGCACCCACTCATGGCCAAGCTGTTGGCCCCAACAGGTTCAAGCTGGTGCCATTTAAATCTCCTCATTCTCACCAGCTGGTCTTGGTTTTGAGGGTTGCAGCTACCAGCGGTGCTGCCAGAAAAGCACCCACATCACTGGTGTTGCTGCCAGAAGGGAAGGAACTTGCAGCCCATCGGGGCAGGGACCTGGTTAGTGGCCATTTGTGCTGAGGTCTAATGGACAGGCAGACTTTCCTAGAAAACAAGAACAACTGTCTCTTTCTCACACTCTGTGCAATGTTTACTAAGAATAGTTGCCAGATGTTAAGTGTTGTCTGTTGGTTAGGAAGTTCTTTATGTAATTTAACTCATCTAATTTTCACAACAATCGTCTGAGGCAGATATGATTTTTATCTTCCCATTTTACAGCTGAGAAAACTGAACCATGAAGAAGCGACATACTTGACCAAGGTTACAAATCTAATAGAGAGAGGGGCAAGGTACATATGCAGGCAGGTCTGCTATAGATGCCAAGTTCATAACCACCACTCTGTACTGCCACTCGGACTTTGTGCTAAGATCACCCCTACTGCCTGCCAGACTCTTCTTCCCCTTGGGGGTTTCCTTCTTGCCCCTTTTTCTGAAATTTGGCCACGGATTCTACTCCAGCTCATCAGAAATATTTTTATAGCTGGTTTTATGGTACAGGCAAATGGTTTCAATCTCTTACTCCCATGCAAATTAGCAGGTACAAATAGACTGTAGAAGGGAAGGTGGCTAATTCTACTCACCAGCAACACTTATGCCCCAAATTAGTCAGTATGTAAGTATATCCAGGAATCACAGTGGCCTGTTATCTAACTCCTCCCACCAGGAACAGAAGGCCCAGGACTCCTACGGAACCAAATGTCCTATTAGCCAAATATTGATCTGACCAAGGTGTGACGGAGGAACTAGAGTCTCTCTCCTCCATCCACATAAGAATATCACTAGAATGTCTGCTATTTTGCCTGCTAACCAAGAACAAAAAGTTTTAAGTCCATAGTAATCCTGTTTTATTTACCTTTTCTCTTAATAGAGATATTTCAAGAACAAGGATCCATTCCCTGCCCAGCTATGGCTTAGAAAATCTTAAGAAGCTGAGGGCCAGGTCGACTTACAACTTAAAAAGACTTCCTAGTCTGGAAGAGCTTGTCGCCCTCATGGAAGCCAGCCTCACCTATCCCAGCCATTGCTGTGCCTTTGCAAACTGGAGACGACAAATGTGAGTCCATCCTTCAGGCCCTGTTTGGGCATTTCCCCAGTGTAGAGCTTACTCCACAATTTCTACCTATCTGTGACATGAAGATAATCTACCAGCAGAGAGATTTCCCTGTCTCAAGTTCTTTGGCACATTCTGGGTCAAAAATTCAGTTCTGTGGAGAGTGAGAATGGTTGAATTCTTTCATTTTCTTGAAAATTGGCTCACAGGAGACGGCTACCCATGGGACAGAACGTATAGCAATACTAAATGCAAAAACGTTAAAAATCCTAAACATAGTGCCTGACTCAGAGTTGGTGCATAATATCTATTCCTTCTTTGTACCATTATGGATTTAATCCTTCAAGTCCCAAGCTCTGCACCTGATAAATGCCCCAGCCTACTTTCATCCATGTCATCTTTGGCAGGGAGATACATAAATCCCATACCAGAGACTGATGTACATATCTGCAGCACATCTCAATCACACTATGCCTCTCAAATCCACCTTGGGATCTTACGACCTCATGGGGAGGACAAAGTTTAAGACATCTCATTACTTTGGCTCTCAAAGAAAGCCAGGTTCAAGAAAGCCCAGACTTAAAGAGGACAATCTAAACAGAGACAAGTCCTAGTGGCTAACTGGTTAAAAAAAAAAGTGAGGTAATCATAGACAGGATCTGGAGACAGTGAAGAGAAAGTCGCCTTGGAGAGTGCACACACATTTCAGACATTGAAACAATCCGTTGGAGGTAAGAACTTACTGAGCATCAGAGTTCTCAAAGCTCTCACTCTCCTGAGCTCACCTACACAAGCCACACCATGTAGTTGCACTCATCAAATGATGTCTTTTCAGTACTCTTATACAATAGCCTAGAACTAATACAGCTTTCCTATGATATTGTTTCACTGTTTAACAATCTCCATTATTCAACGTTTAACATACATTGGCCGGTCTGGGTGGACTTATCTCTTGCTCAAAAGCAAAACAAAAAAGGCAACAAAACACTACATACTCTAAAATATTTTCAAAGTAGCTGGCCATCTCTACTCAGCTCCTTTTGGAGGATTTATAGAAAAATAGCTGGTTTTCAGAATTCTCATGCATCACTGGGATATTATCCAGAATGGGCACTCTTCATAGATTAGCTCAAGAGCCAAGAAATTTCTTCCCGATAACCAGAATTCTTATGGTCCTGGGCTGAAGCAGAGGCTTGCCTCTTTTATATTGAAGACAAGAATTATTCCATCTAGAGTGAGAAAGATACCAATTTTCCACCAAGTCCCTGGAACTGAATACCCTGAAGGAGAAATAAAGAACATTAAGAGTGGCCAGGCAAGGTGGCTCACACCTATAATCCTAACACTTTGGGAGGCCAAGGCAGAGTAATTCCTTGAGCCCAGGAATCTGAGATCAGCCTGGGCAATGTGTTGGGACCTCTTTTCTATGAAAAATGAACAAAACTAGCAAGGTGGGGTGGTGCATGCCTGTAGTCCTAGCTACTTGGGAGGCTGAAATGGGAGGATTGCTCAAGTACAGGAGGTCAAGACTGCAGTGAGCCATAATTGTGCCACTGTACTTCAGCCTGGGCAGCAGAGTAAGACCTTGTCTTTAAAAAAAAAAAAAAAAAAAAAAGAGAGAGAGAGAAGGAAGGAATTGTTAAGATCACTGCGCGAGCAGCTTGCTGTGTGCCATCTGGCCCAGTTACAACACACCCCAACTTGTTATCTCATAGTGTTGCTCACATTCCTCTAGGCATGGCCTCAAGGCTCTCCCCACCAGAATCTCCACGTCTGCCTTATATTGTCCCAGGACATGAGGACTCCTCTGATCCCTCTAGGCTGCTGCTGTGACTTACCATCCAGGCCTGTCAGGGTACTGCAAGGGAGAGGAACATGGTTCTTTCACAACACGCCAAAATGGAGTAACAAAAATTGCAAAGGGTGGTTTTTATTTTCTATTTTTAGCAATGAATATTTGACTTTCTCAAATCCACACACACAAACAACACAAAATAATTACACTATTCAGAAGGTAATTTCAGATGTATTTTTTCAATAGTGTCATTTCATTGTATATCATAGTGGGTGTGGTTTGGTAGTGGGATATGAGTTTTAACTTGTATGATGAAATTATTCTTCTGCTCCTCCTTTGGAAATAATGCCCAGAGTGTCAACATGAGGCCCCTGTGACTAAATCATTGGCCAGTGGTCCTCCTGGACTCTTCCCAAAAGTTCCTATCAACTGCACTCTTCATCTGTCATTGAACCAGATATTTCCCTGTCACAATTCTGTATTCAGTTTGCTTTACTTTGCTCTTATATTTATTGTTAACTACAATAAAAATTGTGTTTCTTCACAATTCAATGTCATGAAGGCCATTTCTTCACAAAAAAGAGTTAAATTGATGTGCTGTGGCATATGATTCTAAGTACCCACATAGAGCCTAGACCTTGACAAGAATTCCCTAAGTAACCACCGTCATGAAGAGGAACTTGTAGAAGCATCCGCATTTTCGCAATACAAAAAGGTTCATACTGTTGACATTTGCTGAGTACTCACTGACAAGCACCGCAACACTCTGTGTCTTTATCACATTTAACTTCCACGAGTTAATATTATTATTCCTTTCTCACAGAGACAGAATCTGAGGCTCAGAGATACTAAATAACTTGACCTACACTGAGCAAACAGGTCCAAATCTGGTCTGCTGCCTCCAAAGCTCAGGCTGCGGGACACTACTACACCTCCCCCAAGCATCTGTTCACTGACTGACCAGAGTCCAAGAGTGCCACTTTTCAAACTGACCCTAAACTGAATTCCCAACTTCTTCTGATAGTTGGGATTTTCCAAGGTACTGTAGAGGCAAGACTTGATGTCCCTCCGTTTCCACTTTTGTTTCTGTTCTTGTCTCAGCGACATAAGTTATGTACCTTTCTCCTTACTTCACGTCAGTGGGTCACCTCTGTTTCAGAAAAGGGAAGCACAGTATCTAAAATATGTGGACAGCAGTATCAACAGTAAGAATCTTCACAGATGCTGACCATAAGCTCCAGGAATTGAAGGCTATTTCTGGAGAGTTAAGTCAGATCTAAGGCCAATGAACCAAACTGCAGTCAGCAAGTACCAGGTTACTTACTTTCTCTTCCTAGAATCAGGCAGCAGCTAACTCACTGACAGGGTTTAAGAGTCCAGATTTAGCCTAAGGACCATAGGATAACCCTCTTACCCCCTCTATGCCCATTATGGAGCCTGCCTCACCTTTGTTGGAAGACTGCTGACTAAACCAAAACATTTTCTGGGCTGTTTCCATTCACTTGCAATTCTGTATATGTTACTCATTTAGTCTTTAAAAACAAAATCTCTTGGGCCAAGGGAAAATAACTTCCTGGCAATTCAATTCACTCTTCCAGGGGTGAGAGAGGAGAACATTCTTCCTAACAGCCCCTTCTCATCCAGGTGGATAGGGAAAGGTTCAGTCCACGTATAGTAGGTTGGAATACCTGGCAGGACTCATCCTTTAGCATCAAATGGGGTCTTTACCTCCTCTACTCTCCCGGCCACCTCTTTCCTTCTTAGGAGGGTTTTAGTACTCACTTCCCCACTTATATCTGTGATTATGTCAAGGTTTAAGGAAAACAGTCACTTAATATTGCTGTGAACTTGCCCCTTGGGGAAGGAGGGAAAGGTAGGCATGTGTATGTGTGATTTTTTTCCATCCAAAAAGGTTCCAGTTTAAAATATTCCCATTCCATAAGCCTTTACTTACAAACAGCAGTATTACCTTCCACGTCTCTACATGCAGAGTATTGAGAGACATTACTCTGGAGTGGAATATTTATGGGTATACTCATGGGTTGAGTATTTATCACCTGGATTTCATTCGAATCCCTCTGTACGTACCTCTATCCTATTGACAAGGCCCCTTGTACATTTGGGTTTAAAGGGAAAACCAAGACAGTAAAGTGAACCCAAGGAGAGGTAGTCTCCCCAGAGGATGAGTTACATTCTTAGAATAAATTATGTCCTTTTGCAACTTGTACTTGCTCTTTGGGGAACTCACTAGAAAACTAATAGGAGAGAGCCAGGCTTACGTTGCAGACAAACACATGCCTGGGGCCTATTGTGGCCCCCAGAAAGTGAGATAATAAAAAACAGGAAAGACCCTGATAACATTTCAGGCAAATTAGCTGGCCTCCGGATAGCCTGAGTACCAAAAAGCCAGGGAGTAGGGGCTGGCTGGGAACTAACTACAGATTCTGATCCCCTAATTTATGTAGATAAGAGAAGCCAATAAGTTCTCATTTGAGTAAGAGAACAGTATGGATCTTCCAGTGATTTTAGTGTAGAGGAATAGGAGTTTGTTCTACCCAGGCATATTAAGAGATAGCTGGATGGAGATGGAAGAAGGAAAAGGGCAGAGTTGATACCAGGTCTATAAATTATTTTCACTTAACAGCAAGGCTTAGTCTCAGGCGCCTTCCTCCCCACATTCAGGTTGTGGCAAGATGGTTTCCCCAGTGGGTCATCCAACTCTAGTAATATATATACAAGTTGTTATATTCACTTACAGTAAGCAGCATTAACCCTTGAGCTTAGCCTGAAGGGCAGATATGATGTAAGAAGAAAAAAAAAATCTCAGGAAGAAACCCATCATTTCTACCCTGCACAAAGACAATGATGTATTTGCTACTCTGGATCTGAGATGTTGATTCTATTTCTTTTTGTATTTTTCTAGCTCTGAGCTTCATCCAATTTGCAACAAATCTATTTTAAGGCAAGAAGTTGATGATATGACTCAGGCTAAGGGTCAGAGAGTCTCCCTGGCAGAATACGATGAGTCCAGTTACAGCAGAGAATTTGACATGATGTACAATGAGTTTGATTATGGCTTATGCAATGAAGTGGTTGAGGTGACCTGCTCCCCTGAGCCAGATGCATTCAACCCATGTGAAGATATTATGGGGTACAACATCCTCAGAATCCTGATATGGTTTATCAGCATCCTGGCCATCACTGGGAACATCATAGTGCTGGTGATCCTAACTACCAGCCAATATAAACTCACAGTCCCCCGGTTCCTCATGTGCAACCTGGCCTTTGCTGATCTCTGCATCGGAATCTACCTGCTGCTCATTGCCTCAGTTGATATCCACACCAAGAGCCAATATCACAACTATGCCATTGACTGGCAAACTGGAGGAGGTTGTGATGCTGCTGGCTTTTTCACTGTCTTTGCCAGTGAGCTGTCAGTCTACACTCTGACAGCCATCACCTTGGAAAGATGGTATACCATCACCCATGCCATGCAGCTGGACTGCAAGGTACAGCTCCGTCATGCTGCCAGTGTCATGGTGGTGGGCTGGATCTTTGCTTTTGCAGCTGCCCTCTTTCCCATCTTTGGCATCAGCAGCTACATGAAGGTGAGCATCTGCCTGCCCATGGATATCGACAGTCCTTTGTCACAATTGTATGTCATGTCCCTTCTTGTGCTCAATGTCCTGGCCTTTGTGGTCATCTGTGGCTGCTATACCCACATCTACCTCACAGTGCGGAACCCCAACATCGTGTCCTCCTCTAGTGACACCAGGATCGCCAAGCGCATGGCCATGCTGATCTTCACCGACTTTGTCTGCATGGCACCCATTTCTTTCTTTGCCATTTCTGCCTCCCTCAAGGTGCCCCTCATCACTGTGTCCAAGGCGAAGATCCTCCTGGTCCTGTTTTACCCCGTCAACTCCTGTGCCAACCCCTTCCTCTATGCCATCTTTACCAAAAACTTCCGCAGAGATTTCTTCATTCTGCTGAGCAAGTTTGGCTGCTATGAAATGCAAGCCCAAATTTATAAGACAGAAACCTCATCCACTGCCCACAACTCCCATCCAAGGAATGGCCACTGCTCTTCAGCTCCCAGAGTCACCAATGGTTCCAGTCACATACTTGTCCCTCTAAGTCATTTGACCCAAAAGCAAAACACAATGTGAAAATGTATCTGAGTTATGAATAATACTTCAGTCTTGCCTTTGAAGAGTATAACACAGATAGTTGACAGTGCTTTTACATATTTCATCTAATTTAATCTTCCTGGCATACCTTTAGAGTAAATTGGTAAGGAACTATTAATTCCATGTGATACATTGGGAAGCTGAAATATTAGTAACAACAATAATCATTAAAAAATACAACACTACATCATATGTTTTATCCTTATGTATGTTGGTTTTGAACATTATGTTCAAAGTGCTTTTGTTCATTTTATCTCAACTGATCTCTTAAATAAACAGGACAGGGAATATCCTTAGAGTTTTACAAATGAGGAAACCAAGACTCAAAGAGTTAAATGACTTGTTCACAATTGTTTGGTTTGTAAGAGGCAGAGCCAGGATTAGGTATTCCGACTCCCAGAGAATTTCCAAGAGAAGCACCATGGTATTCGTTTATTTATTCATTCATTCAACAAATATTTATTGAACACCCATGTGAAGCCTTTGTAAGGTGTCAACGTGGATAGGTTTGAAATACCTTTCCCAGAATTCCCTTCCCCATGTATTTCCAGTTAGGGTGGGCCACAGCAAAGACCTAGGAAAAGAGGAAGGCAGAGGGAAATGGCAGCCATTCTGTAGCTTGGCACACTTTGTTGTTGATGCTGATTCAGCTTACTGCTGTGGAGCAGCAGCTGGGTCTGCAATTGCTCCACCTTTCCCTGCATCCTCCTTCAGGTTCGCAGACTGGTCCTGGGCCACTGTATTTGCTAAGCTCCATGATAAAGGAACCAACTTCTGCAGGACACTTTTATCACCAAGGTCAGAGGCAACAAGAATGTAAGCAGGGCTCAGTGTGTGCTTGTGGAGTTCTACCTGTGCTGCTGCTTCCAGCATGCTGTGATCTTGCCTTTATGATCACCCCAGTCTGAGGACATCAAGCTCCAGCATCAGCTGTGGAGAAATCCTTACAAAGACAGCTTAACCAGTCCCCACAAATGTGTAAGCCTGTAACAAATATTTACCACCTATGCATATTTACATGCATGCAAATATATAACTGGTTCTGCTTCTCTACTTGAACCCTAACACCTATTATATGACATGCATATGGACTGTAATGCTAAGAACACAGCAGTTTGGAATCAGACAGCACTGAGCTATTATTAGGACTCCACAATAAGCCAGGACCTGACCTCACTAACCTCAGCTGCAATTTCTGTAAACTAGAGCTTGTTATATATCTAACTTTTGAGCTTACTGTCAGAAATGGATAAGAAAATAGTTGTGAAGTGCCTAGTTCTATAACTGGCTTGGTAAAGGTTTACTTCTCTCGCCCCAGACCTGTGCCTGAACTAGTGCCCTCTCCTGATCTTCAGTCTAGAACTCATTCCATTACAGCATATTGTTCTTGATAAATAACCATACTACCCACATCTATTTTATAAATGACCCCATGTGGATAATTTGGGTCATAAATATCTACTATAAATTCCACCAAGCTCTGTGCCTTGGCTAGCACACAAAGCTTAGAGTCTCCTCTGAGTCTCCTCTTTCAATGTCAGAAGCCAGTCCTTCTTCCTCTTACCCTTTGGCAAACATTTTAAAAGTTTATCCCAAAAGCATTAATGAGGAAGTCCTTATAGAGCCAGAAGAAAAAGCAATCATCTCTTCCCATGTGACCTGGCACCATTTCCGTATATTGTGAGCATCAAGTGCAAAATAAAATAATTGTCCTTGTAAATAGTCTAGAGCTTCACTGTCTAGCACAGTGGCTGCTAGCCACATGTGACTATTGAGCACCTGGACTGTGGCTAGCCTGAACTTAGAAACTTAGATATGCTTTAAGTGTAAAATACACACTGGATTCCAAATACTTAGTTTTTAAAAAAGAGGACGATAGCTCAATAATAATTTCATTGTTTACATACTAGGACCATGTTGTTTGGGAGGTATCAGGACAAATACATTTAAAAATTAGTTTCACTTATTTATTTTAAAGTTTTTTAATGTGGCTATACAAAAATTTTAAATTACATATGTGGCTTGCATTTAAGGTTTACAGTACACTTCAATTGGAGAGCACTGATCTAGAACTATACAAAAATAAAGGGCTTTCAGCTAGCATTTTTCTTCCCAGCCCCCATGTACTCATTTGCTGCACTGTTGGGCTGTCCCCGCTCCATCTGCAGTCATTCATCTTCCTTATTTTCGACCACAGGCTATGTATTTCTGAATCTGGACTCAAAAGCAAGTTGCAGCTAAATTAAAAATACGATAGAGTATTAATTATTCTACAACATAGCTGCTGATGACACATCACTTTAAGAAATCGTGGCTCTGAGAGGCAAGAATGTGTTCAGAGATAAATATACAGCAAGAGACACTCAGAAGACATTTTTCCCTCACTATAATACATCCTGGTAAGAGAATAAATGGAGAAAGGAATAATAAGGAATAAAGGAATAATAATAATAATAAGAGGAAAAGCCCCCAGCACTTCTATCACCAAGATACTGCAACTCTTACCACAGGCGGCACTGGGCCTATTTAGGTCAGTATCACATGTCATTAGAAAAATCAGAGGAAAAACATCATGGAAACTGATGGCCACAAGCTTTAGGTTCATAAAGTATTTTATTTTATTAGGAAAGTTGGTAAAGTCACAAGCAGGGAATAAACTTTCAGCTATTGCATACTAAGGGACACTGAAGAAAGAAGACAAATATATAGGATGTGTTGTTTGTTCAAAATGTAACTGAATCCATTATAGAGACTAAATAAAAGTCCACACAAAATAAAGCTCAACTATTAGGTTGTATTTGCTGGCCCTCATCAAAATGCTTTCAGTGGCAAAAAGCAGAACTCTTAAAAAAAAAAAAGGCCAGTTACACATAAAATGCTCCAGGCTTGGATTGGTAGCTCAATGATCTCAAAGACCCAGGACCTTTCCATCTTTTTGCTCTGCCATCTTTGGAATCTTCAGCCATGTTTTCCCTCATGATAGTATGTTGCTGTAGCAGTTCCAGATGCACCAGGCAGACATGACCAAATCCAGAAATAAAGAGATGTCTTTCTTCTGTGCATCTCTCTTTTCAAAGGGATTAAATTTCTCCTTATAGGCTGTAATAAAGCCTTCCTTTGTACTCACTACCTAAGATTGCTGTCCTGATCAAGAGAAGTCACAAATGGAGCCTCTGCCACATTCAGCCTCAGGTGGAAGGCAAGGTCTGCCAGCAGGAAGGTAAAAGCAGGTAGTAGAAGAGGGGGAGTGAATGGGTAGGCAACCTCATCCTCCAACCCAAGTCAACCCAAATCCTCTCTCATGGGGTGAAGCCACTGGAATTCAAGATCAGGATACATATGGCACCTTTACACCTCACATCTCCTGTCTTCATCCCTCTGTCCTCCTCCCTCCACCATAACCTGCAGTACAGCTTCTTCTCTCCATGTAGTCTGTTCCATCCCTCCCTGAAACAAACCCTGGAAACTACTTAGATCTAAAGGAAACCACTAGAGTCCTACATTGACCATGAAATCCTGTTTGAGAATAGGAGTGGAAAAGGAAAAGGAGAAAGAAAAGAGACAAAAGAAAAAGGAAGTAACAAATAAAAGAAATGCACTAGGATAGGAAAGAGGAGACATGAGAGAAAAAGAGAATGGCAAGACAAATATCAAGGAGGGGGCAATGTGAAAGAAAGCCAGGTCCTAACTGCGTCTCTTTGTGCCAATACTTGTTCATCTTTGTCTTAAGAAAACCTATTAAACTTGTTGCAAAGAGTTCAACTCCAAACACTGAATGAGCTCAGTCTTAGATCCCAGCAGAAAAGCCCAATGGACATACCATGATGGTCTAGGTTTCCCATGCCTCCACATACCATGGTCTGGGGTCCCCAGATCTAGTTCAAAAAATGAGTAATGGAAAATATTTCTGGAGATATTTAAAACTTCCTTGTGGGAACTCACTTAGGGTGGTGGCAAAAAAATATTAAGGGAAAAATATTAGAGAAAGTTAAAGAATATAGTCTCAAACCCTTTTCGAAGGCCTAAGGGTTTTTTCATAGTTTCAGTAGAAGTTTCAGCTGAATGCAGCCTGAATCCCCTTTATATTTAGTTAACAGTAAAGCAAACAGCTAGAGTATGTGGGGGAGTTTACCTAAATAACTTATTTACTCATGCAGTCTTAAAACTAACCTTTGAGCCAAATGGACCTCTGGGAGGTGGGGCAGTCAACCAGGGAGATTACCCTCTAATGGTATTTGCTTTGGGCATGGGAACCTGTCCTTTAATCTTTCACTCTAGTGGTATTGACTCAAGCCTTTGTCAGTTAAACTTTTGTGAATATATGTGAGTCCCACTGACCGGTGGGGGCCAGCAGTTACAACTGTTTACAGCACTGTAAGTGGCCACAGACCCTCAGCCAAACTGGCAAAGCATAAGATCTGTTTGTCAGTGTACTTTATTCATCTGTCATGTAGCTGGGGTCTGTGGAACAGACCCCCACAGGTGATGATCCCAACACCTCCCCATGTCAGACATAAACTGTAAAGACAGCTTGATCCTTTTCATGACCCATCATATTCTATTCTTCCCAACAGCATTAGTCACAGCCCCTGATCATTTTGATTTGGAATAGATAAGCTTAAAAAATATACTAAATCCCAAAGTCTGTAGGAGCAATCTATTTGTTGTGCTCTTGCTTCCTTTCCTTTTGCTTTTTTGTATCACAGGAGTCCTTGAATCCTGAGACATTCCTTAAACAGACACAAAAGAAGAATGTAAACAATTATCTTATTTGTGGTTATATTTTCCACATAGTAAGATGAAAAGGACATTGTCAGCTCTGCACTTAAAGAACTGTCAGACAATTTTCCCTCATGTACCATTAGCAAAGGTCGTTTAAACTGCCAGGCATTAATGAGTTGCTCAAAGATGTAGTTTGGCCAGGGAAGATTTAAAAGTTATTGTTTCACAGGCAGCAAAACCT